CCAGCGCCACATGGCGTCGGTGCCGTGGCGAGCTGGCAGGCAGGCAGGCAGGCAGGCAGGCAGCTCCTCGCGTGCTAGGAAAGGGGGGACGAACAACGGGTCTTTGGCTGCGTGCGTCAGAAGGTGGATGCGGGCGTCTGTGCAGCTGCATCGCACCCACCGGTGCCGCTCTCCCGGGTCTCGTTCGGGTCCTGTGTCACCTCGCCCCAAGCCCCAAGCACGTACCACCTCCTGGCACGGCTACGGTTATAACAACAGCTCCAGTGTCCAAAGTAGTTTTGATTTCGTACCTCGGGTAGGCACGTAGAGCATGCGATAGGGCAGTCTATGCATCTCTTCGGTTTTCTCTTTTCTATTTTTGTGATGTTTTTTTTTTTTAAAGCATACCCAATAAACATATTGTTGCAAAGCAGAGCTGGAAAACGCCTGGGTTTCTTTCTCCTGTACTCCAAAAGCTGCAGTGCCTGATAGTGTTTTATTCCCGGACCCCTTATTGCTGCGTTTGCTTTCCCTCCTCCATGCTCCATCCGTACCTGGAGCATCCTGGTACCTGCAGAGCCTCCCCACCTCTCCAGCCTCCCCGGCAGCGTCAGGACATTTGGTGTTATGATTTTCCTGACAATTTAACCTCTAAAGTTCTCACCAAGCATGAGTAACTAAAAATAAAACAGCTCTTCTCACGTCCAAGTGCAGAAAAGAACAACAGCCATTAAAAGACAGCTGATCCACTGAAATAAAACCCATAAACACATTAAAAGGAGATAATAAAAGGAGCGGGAGAAGAGCACAGAAGGGCAGTATTTGCTGTGCTTTAGCATGCACTGCACTCATTTACTCTCCCCTCGCACAGCCCATCCTTGCTGCGATCAGCATTTAACCTGCGCAGCAGCCGCACAAACACGATAAATAAGAATATTAAAGCCTGCTGGGTTAAAGAGTCATCCACCCTGGTCCAGACCCGAGGGAGTCGGGCAGTTTGAGGTCCCCAGCTTTCGGGAACCCAGCCCCACAACACGGTGAGCCCCTGCCCAGCCCAGATGGCCAGGCTGACACGGGATCGCTCCCAGTGCTCCCAGTCCCTTCCCGACTCGGACAGGGGAGGAGAAGGTGCCGGCAGGCAGAGCCCAGCCTCCCAGTGGGCATCCCTCACTGGGGTCCCCCACTGCCACGTCCCCCGTGGGCACCGGCGCAATGACAGTGAACTCCGGGCAGGCAAAATCCTCCTCCCGGAGCACGGTGCAGGATGAGGCCGGGGAGGGCGGCGGGGAGGAGGGCGGGCAGCGGGGAAGGCAGGCAGGGTCCGGCAGGACTCGCTGCTGATGGCCAGGGCTGCCGTGGGTCCGGTTGCCCTCACTGCTCTCCGTCTCGCAGCCACGTACCTTGTGCTGCCACCGCCATGGTCTGCGAAGGCGTGCGGCCGCTCCTCTCCCAGCGCCTCGGGGACACGCGGAGCAGCTCAGGGCAGAGCCCTTTCCTGGGGAAAACGGGGCTCCTGCCTGCAGGGAAGGAAATATGAAGAAAGGAAATATGAAGAAATTTCACTTTTGGCAGCTGACCCACGGTGGTGGCACCCTGCCCGCAGCGGGGACGGGGACGATGGGCGCAGCCACAGGTGATGCTGCACTTTGGCTGTACCCATCGCCCCCGTGGCCGGACGGGGACGGGGCTGTCCCTGCCAGCGCTGCCCGCGCTCGGCTATGACCAGGGGTGACCTGGCCGTGGTGAGGCACCTCCCGGACCGTGCAGTGGGTCCTGCCTCCATCGTCCCACCTCTCGCGAAGTAGCCAGCCTGGCAGGAGTTTCACAACTTGCAGAGAGGTCGGGTTTTTTGGTTTTAGAGCAGGGTCACACCAGCATCAGGAGCACCAGGCTTTTTGGTTGACAGTACTATGCTAAAAGCAGAAGAAAACCTCTTTGCAGTGTAAAGTTAGGAAGCTGGGATGAGCGAGGCTGCGGGCAGCCCGCTCCTGCGCTGCATGGCCCGTGTGGTTTGATCCGTGATACGGACTGGAAACAGCTCCTTATGTCTGGGGAGTCCCAAAAGCCTTCACCCGCTCAGGCCGGTGGAGCCCCCTGGAGCTGCTGTGGGGAGAGGCTGCCCCATACCCCACCACCAGCTTCCCCGGGCAGACTAGTAACCCCCAGGGAGGCTTCGGGACCCCCACTCCCAGCCAGCACCAGCCCAAGACCTGTGGGGTACAGCAGCTGCTGGCGCAGAGATGCTGACCGAGAAGCTGGAGCTGCAACAGATGCAGAGATGGAGATGCTGGAGGTGCAGAAGATGCAGAGATGGAGATGCTGGAGGTGCAGAAGACGCAGAGATGGAGATGCTGGAGGTGCACAAGCTGCAGAATGCGATGCTGGAGGGGCAGAAGCTGCAGACCAAGATGCTGAAGGTGTGGAAGATGCAGAAACTGAGATGCTGGGAGTGCAGAAGATGCAACGACCGAGATCCTGGAGGTGCAGACCATGATGCAGGAGTTCCAGAAGCTGCAGAAACAGAGATGTTGGTGGTGCAGTAGCTGCAGTCTGGGATGCTGGAGGTGCAGACCGAGATGCTGGAGCTGCAGAAGATGCAAAGACCGACATGCTGGAGCTGCAGAAGCTGCAGACCGAGATGCTGGAGGTACAGATCGAGATGCCGGAGGTGCAGGGACCCTCTCGAAGGGCCCACCTCCAGCTGCCCCTGCAGTTCTGGGCTCCAGCAATGAGTGGAGCCATTGGAGGAGCTCCCCCAGCGGCTCCTACCACAGGCCCAATGCCTGTCTGCCTTATACAGCTCCCCCCGCCGCCGGCTCCGGCTCTACCAGCAGGAGGGATCCCTCCCCCGGGGCCGCCCGCAGCCCCGCTGCCCCAGCCCTGGGCAGGGATGCTGGTGGGATGCAGGGCAGCGCTGCCCGGCCCTCCTGCTCCCCGGCTGCCCCGGGGGCTGCTGTGCCGGGGTTACAAAGAGCTGCCTCGCTTGGACGATGGGGTTAGCGAGATTTGGCCGTGCAGGGACTTGGCATGGAAGTTGGGGTTAGCAAGCTTTGGCCATGGGGGGACTCTGGCAGGACAAGAGCCTTTCAGATGTCTTCTCCCCACGGCTCTGCGCAGGACACAGGGCAAGGGAGAGCAGCCGGGAGCATCATCAGCCCGTGCTGACCTGCAAAGCGCTGCGTTTCGCTGCAGGAAGGTTGTAGAATCGCTGTAATATCAAAATGCAAACACAGCAGTGTGGCAAGAGCCCCCGGTGCTCTGTGTCACCCCAGACACGGCGGTGTGAGCCCTCCCCCGGGTTCTGCCCGTGCCTGTCTGTGTGCTGGGGCTCGGGCAGCGCATCTCCTGCGCCCGGGGCAGGGCAAGACATCACCCCCACGGCAAATGTGCCGAGTGTGGTTAAAAATCAGCGAGTCCTGCAGCCGGTGGCCTGAGAGGTGTGTGTCTGAACACAAGTTCAGCCTCTGCTTTAGCAGAAAAATGCAGCTCAGGGCACTCCTGGGGTAGCTGGGTCAGAGCTGTGTGTACAATGGGATGTGGTGAAGAACCAAAGAGCTGCAGCTCATTTTCTTTCCACAAGCGGCGATAGGTGAAATGGCTTTTCTTTCCCAGACACCAACCGCAGCTACCGAACACAGCAGCTCTGCGGCGCGGGAAGCCGAGGTCGGGGGACGGCGGGGGAGTGTGGGACGGACCGAGCCGCACACACAGAGGGTGGTGAGAGCTGTCCCTGCAACCATCCATCCCCCAGGCACGCGCCTAACGAGAGGAGCAAAATGTGCCCTTCCTTCTGCTTCCCCTCCCAGGAGGAGAGGGCGGCCGGGGCGGATGCTTCATGGCGGGGCTTCGGGGGAAAGCCTGGGCAGAGCGGGAGCCATCCAAACATCCGCCTGGGTCCCCCCTGGCTCAGCTCTGCCCTGAAGCGCGCAGTTGTCCCCAGCAGAGCTGTGGGGACAGGGGAGTTAGCTGTCACCCCAGGCACCCCTCCGGGCCAGGGGAAGAGCAGAGGAAGGGGCTCCCCCCTCCCAGCACGCAGGAGACCCAGCGCGGAGGGGAGGACTCCTGTGACCATGGCCCGGGGGCAATCAGGGCCTCCTGGGGGCTGAAGGGCCATCATCTCCGATGTTCCAGAGGCTGCTGCGACATCCCAGGGCACGGGATCCAGGGAAAAGCCTCAGTCCGCAGTGAACCACGCACAGTCACGACACCGCTGTCCCCAGGATGGCATCCCAGGGAGCAGCAGTGCTCCCTCTCCTCATCCCACCTCTGGGAGCGGAGAGGTTTCATCACACTGGTCCTCGGTTAATTAGCTGCTGTTTAAGTTTGGGTTGGTGTTTCGTAGGTGGGCTGCGGTGTCCAGGTGTAGTGGGGCTCTGGTAGCGGGGAAGGGAGGTGTGCTGCTGGGTGCCATAGTGGGAGAAGGACGCGGGGGTCCCTGCCCCTGTGGGGTGACCGTGGGCAAGTGGCTCTCCCGTCACAGGGCTGCTCTGGAAATGAGGGTGTGTAGGACACGCAGCACCCCTCAGCGCTGCCCCGGCTGGTGCCGAGGTCTCCGGTGCTGCTTTTCTACAAAAAAAACCATTGCAGTGAACTTGACCATCCATCTGCAGAAGCAAGAGCTGCTCTTTCCATCCCCCAGATATCTGAAAGCTCCTCAATGTCTTTCCATCGTGACTCTTTTCTTTCCCCTCCCTCTGCCTCCCCCTTCTCCCGGTTAAACCATTTTTTTGCTCCAGACTCGCCTCCAGAGCAGCCGCCAGCCCACGTCACCCCTGGAGAAGAGCTCCGTGTGATCCCTCCTGTTCTGTTCCACATCATGTAGCACATCCCATCAAACCGCCGCGAGATGCTCCCGCTTAATTTGTGTACACAAACAATCAGGGAGAATCAAGATGCCGCCCGCGAGAGCTGCACAACCCGTGACAGCCGCGCTGGCCCGCGGGGGGGGGCATCAGCTGCGAGACCCTGATGTGCCTAATTGGTGCAGGCTCCTGCAGTTTGCTCAGGTCTTGATTGATGTAAAGACATGGCACAAACACTTAAACCAAGGACACCCGAACGAGAAAGCAAAACATTTTAAAACGAAAAGCGACACTTACTCTTTGAGGATGTAATTAGCCGTATTTGTCTTTAGGGCCTTTCGCTAAGTGAGGCTCAGCACCGGGGAAAACAAACCGATGTGCCAAGTGCTGTGGTGGGAGCGGACGTGCTGTCCTGGCACCGGCAGAGCCCCACGAGGGCTCTCGGGGCCGTCCCGCAGAGGGTCTGCGCGGGCAGCGGGGCCGGGACCCTCCCCTGAGTTGCAGCGTAGTAAAGGCACACGCAGGACAGGAGGATGGGAAGAGTCTTTTTCCAGTGGTGCCCAGTGACAGGACAAGAGGGAACGGGCACAAAGGTGACCATAGGAAGTTCCATCTCCACCTGAGGAGGGCCTTCTCTGCTGTGAGGGCGGCAGAGCAGTGGCACAGGCTGCCCAGAGAGGTGGGGGAGTCTCCCCCTCTGGAGCCATCCCAAACCCGCCTGGACGCCGTCCTGTGCCACTGCTGGAGGTGCCCCTGCTCTGGCGGGGGTGGCACTGGGGGAGCTCCAGAGGGCCCTTCCCACCCCCACCAGTCTGGGATGCTGTGACAGGGGCTGCCTGTCCCGCACACCCATGGCCCGAGTGACGGAGCCGGTTCTGCACAGCCCCTCGCAGACACCCCTCGCTCTGGCGCTTTGCAGCCTCTACGCTGCAGTGGTGAGGGGGGGACGCCCCTTCCGCCTGCCCGCAACACGGCCTTAACGCAAAAGTGCTTCCGAGCAAGGAACTTTTTAAAATACAGGAACTTTAATCAATCCAGGCCACTTTTAGGGACATAGCAGGGGAGCGTGCCCCCATGGCACACACCGTGTCGCTGGGAGCCTGGCAAAGCCCTTGGCAAATGGCCCTGCCCCAGGGGCTGCTGGCCCGGCGGGGGACACCAATACCCTGGGTGAGGGCAAGTGGGCAGCAGCTCCACTGGCACCGGGAATGGGGACGGGAATGGGGATGGAGTTGGGGATAGCGATGGAGATGGGTATGGGAACAGGGAAGGGGACGAGGATGGAGACAGGGATGGGGACAATGATGGAGATATGGATGGGGATGTGGACGGGGACAAGGATGGGGATGAGGATGGAGATGGAGATAGGGACGGGGAAGGGAACGAGGATGGAGACAGGGATGGGGATGGGGACAGGGATGGAGAAATGGATGGGGATGGGGACGAGGATGGGGATGGGGATGGGGATGGGGATGGGGATGGGGATGGGGATGGGGATGGGGGTGGGGGCCGGGGAGGGGGAGGGG